AAGGAAAAAAAAACAAGAGATTTTTTTTTTTATTTTAAGAAAAAAATAAGAAATGCTTGAAAATATTACAGAAAAGAAAAAACAAGTGGGTTCGTTCAATATTCTTTTCCTATTTTTGCTACTGTGCTCATTCTTTTAAAGGAATGAGAATTTTCTTCTTTTTTGATAAATAATAGAGTAATATAGAGAAAAATAAGCATTACAAAACGTTCTCTCACCCTTTTGTTCATTTTTTTTTATGCTGCATTAAAAAATAACTGTAAAATGTATTTAATGCTTTAATATAATATCACACTATGTATACAGAAAAACACGTTCACACAAGGTAGTTCGTTTATATACGATAAAATACGGTAAATTTTATTTTTTTAATGGTATGCCAGTATAGTGGAATTTTTTCATTCTCATGCTTTCCATCCCTTATATATTGTAGGCAACACAAAAACTCCCCTTTCGAATAAAATAAAATAAAAAAAAAAAAAACAGAATTTTTCAACCATTTAAAAGGTATAAAGAAATCATTTTATTAAAAAATCATTCAAGAACTTCTCAAGAAAATAATAAAAAATTCTTAAGGACATTTTCTGTATACATACATATGTACGTATACATATATACGTAACCTTATTGTTATACCAATGTTTAAACATACTTGCTAATATTACAGAAACAAAAAACAAAAACGCGAGAAATGAGCTTAATATGAAAATAAAATATCACCACAATAAATACTTTTTTCACAGTATCATTGAATATCATTGAATACTGATGCTGTTGTGGCATGTCATATATATACATATACATATGTACATATAGTCTGAGTGAAAAGATATTGGATAAGTATGTAATATTTATAAGATGGTTGGAAATTAGGCCATTGGCATTTACTTTTACATACAATTTGTACTTATATAGTGTTTTTTATTTATAAACATAATATATAAATTACTTGTGTACAGATAAGTACACTTTAAGCTCTCGATATGCTAAGATATTTTTGGAAATTGGGGTCGTTTGATACATAAACACATACATATTTATTCTCGTACACTATGTCGGAATGGCAAAATATTTGATGCATAAAAAAAAACAAATAAAAAAAAGGTTTTTTTTTAAGGAAAGAAAGAAAATTTTTATTACACTTTTGTTGTTTTAAGCTGTAATTGCTGTTGTCAGTTTTATCGTCTTCCTTCCATTTATTCTAATTTTTGGGGTCGAAATTTACTCATATTGAATAGGAATGGGTATATGCATAGTTGAATAGGAGTGTAAAAATGATAATGTGGAATTTTTACTCATCTACATTTTATAATAAACCTACTTATACTTTATATATTTACCGATATTTGTATAGCCCATATTATGGGGTCGGTGTGAAAAAACAAATGTGAGAATAAAAAGGAGTTAAAAATTCTTGTTACTATGTGAGTATATTGTGCTGATATTGCTGTAGTTGCAAACAAGTTGAATTATTGTTATTATTGATGTGCATACACATTTATTTCACCATTACTATATTTTTTGAAATTTTTATTTATTCGGGTGTGTTAATATGATAAAAAAATTTTTAAGAACAACCAAAATCAATTTAGAAAAAAATTAATAAAATTTTGCAATGCTTTTTTTTTTTGTTGATTTATAATATTAGATTGCGGTTAGAAATTGCTTTTTACTTCCTTTCGGAATATCTTATCACAAAGATTATTAAAATATACTTTCTACTTGGCCTAATTGTATGAGCCAAAACACTTTCAATTTTAGATTTTACATAGCCGCTTCAAACATTTTATGGCATTTTATTCAATGGAAGATTAAAGGTAGTAACAGGCTTGAATTCGATCGACCCAACAACGGTTATCGCATCTTACATTTCTAAAAGCTAAAAAAGAAACCAATTTTTTGTTTAAGAGATAGAAAAACATTTCCAGCGCAACGGTGCATTTTTTTTTTTCTAATGAGCCATTTGATATAATTCTTGTAAATTCTTTGTAAACAATGGTAAGGCAAACTAAATCTGTGGTCGCTATTCGTATTACTTCAAGCCGGATCATGTCATTTTACTTTATCATGAAATTTGTCTTCCGGGATGAATTTATCTGTGTCTCCACCTTCCGGAAGGTCTCTATATACTTTGCTATTGCATTCTAGTTAATATTGCTTCTTAGTTCATACTATTCCATTCTCGATATTGTAGTTACAGCTCCTCTGAAAATTTTTCGATTCTGACTGATTCGTTTCTCTCGAAAAGCACGTGAAAGACTTTGTTTTAGGCTTCGTGAAAGTGCCTGAATCATTGATCCGTGGAAATAAAACTACAACTACTTACAGTATCATGGAACTACACTTCACAATATGAGGCTTAAATTTGAATGAAAATTAAATTTTAAATTAAGATATAAAAATTTATTTGTTTCTCTTGTGCAAATAAGATTTTGAATTTATTACGAGTACTATTCTCTTACAATGCTGATTTAAAAATAGTAATTAGAGAATAAATGCAAATAATAAAAAAATTTTAATTAATAGTTTATTACTGATTAAATATCTTGCAAAAACTCCTTTTCATATATTTAATATTACAATATAAAATTTTATGAAGTTTATGGTTAACAAATATTTTTTCTGAAATAAAATAATCTTCGGCCTTTCTATAATAATAAAAAAGCCTTTTATATTGCATAGTTTTTATAGTTTCCTTTTCAATTATTGAAATAAAAGAATTTACCAGACTGTAAAATAATATTTTCATTCTGAATAAACTATATTTTGATTATCCTCTTATAGTTTTTTTGAATTTACTCGTTTTATTTATGTGTACACAAATAACAGTGTGTATATTTACAAATCCATATTCCTATTAATGTATATAAATAATGAAATATAAAAATTTTGAAATAAACTGATATCGATTACGAAATAGTTTTATAAAATGAACGAAATAGAAGGATATTTTTCTTCATTCATACTAAAACTACTCCACATCTATAAATAATAAAGTTTTATAACAATAATGAACTTTTTTTGCTTGAATAAATTTTTTTAAAGATTCGTTTTCTTGGGTTCGCTTCTTCCTTTCGTCCTTATTCTTTGATAAATATTTACAAAATATCTAAATTTTTTTAAAAACTTCTTGCCCCCCCCCCTCTCTGTATATATATACGTGAATGTATAAACAATATTTATGTACGAACATCAGTTTTTCTTCGAAAAGTCATAAAAAAGAAAAGTTTTACTAAAACGAAAATGAAGAAAAAAAATTTATTTTACCATCGATAATAAACTATTCTTTTTTATACTTAGGAGAAAACAAAACAATAAAAATGAAAAATAAAAGGATCAAATTTGATTTTTGTATTCAGAACTTGTAGAGAACTTTGAAACTTTTTTTCTTCTTAAACTCCACAACTTAATATTATTAAAAATTTTGTTTTTTCTTTGATTGGATTAGATGTGTTTGCAAAATATTTAAATTTTATTTTATTCTTTTGGATAAATTACTTATTTTATATTATTTAGTGTTTTTACGTTTCGACCCAAAAATTATGTAAAAATTTTGTTTTTTTTTTGCAACTTCTTTATGAAAAAGCATTTTGTTATCAAAATTTCAATATGGAATTTAATATTTGTATACAAATTTAATCATAAAATTAATTTTTTATATTTAATCATAAAATTAATTTATTATATTAATATGAGTAACAAAACATATTGGTAATATGACCCTAAAAAACTAATGTTTTCAGTTAACCCAATAGCTTTTAGATGCAATAAAAAGGACCATTTAAGGCTTATTATATCTGATATATCAGTATATAATATGCTTTTTTAAGTTTTTATTCCATAAACTTTAAAAAATTCCAAGAAATAAGAGCCTCAAGAAATAATAAAAAAATTTACTTTGAACCAACATCGGGCGCCATCGCATTTTTAAAGACCATTATATATCAGTATGTAATTTGCTTTTTTAAGTTTTTATTCCATAAACCTTACAAAGCTTAATGTTCTCGGTTACCGAAAGAGCCTCAAGAAATAATCAAAAATTTACTTTGGGACAACATCGGGCGCCATCATATTTTTAATGACCATTAAAAACTTATTATATTTAATATCCTAGTATGTCAAACGCTTTTTTATTCCATAAGCGCTACAAAGCGTAATTCTTTCGGTTACCGAAAAAGCCTCAAGAAATAATAAAAAAATTACTTTGGGACAACATCGGGCGCCATCATATTTTTAAAGACCATTTAAAACTTATTATATTTAATATACTAGTATGTAAAATGCTTTTTTTATTCCATAAGCGCTACAAAGCGTAATGCTTTCGGTTACCGAAAAAGCCTCAAGAAATAATACAAAATTTACTTTGGGACAACATCGGGCGCATTCGTATTTTTAAATATTATCAATGGTTTAAGTTTTTTCAAATATTTTTCCATTTTTGATGTAGGTTACAACAGCATCATTAAACATTTTATGATGATATGTCTAATTTCAAGTAAAGCATTATTAATTTGGTTATAAGTTGTTAAAGAAAAATATGAGTCCCTGTTGTGCATTTAATAGTTTTTAGAACGACTGAATTTCTTGTGAGCTTTATCTGACGCGAGATCCACTTTTTATGTACTTACCTTGTATATTTTGAATACAAAATGAATTATCCCAGATCGTTCCAAACATAAGTTACTTTGGAACCGGCTCGGACAAGATATAATTTTTGAAGGCCGTTCTTATATGCTTTCCGCGGACTTATGTACATTTCCGTTTTAGTTACAACCTACTACAGAATCTTTAATTAATTGATGATGATACCTGTATAATCTCAGAGAAAACATCAAGTCGAACAGAAAATTTTTTAAAAACGAACAGAGAACTTATGTTTGAACTATTTAAACAATTAATCTAATGAAACAAATTTTGAAAATTTAAATTAAATAAATTTATTTAAATTTTTTATAGTTTAATCAATTAATTTTAATTTTTCAACTTTTTTTTTCTTGCAGGTATGTACAATTACAATGGCTTGTATATAAATTCTTGATGGGGTATGAAAGGGTGAGATTGAATGATTGCAATATTTTATATTTTTAATGTTTGATTTTATATAAGATCGCGTGGCATATAAGTAAACCAAAGGGCTGTTCGCTTATTGAGTATGACGTATGAAGGCTAGGTATGAAGCCTTAAATTATAACCTTTATTTATAATATATGTGAATATAGCTTACAAATTTATTTTAATTGACTTAAAAAAAGTTAATATCTATTTGTAAAATATTTCAAAAGCATTGTGTTTGAACTCGTATTCAATATTTCATTAAACATGTAGGTAAGTGCATATTTTAAAAAAAATTCAACCATACTGAAATTTTTTTTTTTTTGTTTTTGCAAAACCACAATAATAAAATTAAGCAAGAAAAATCGAACATTCTTTATGCATAGATATAGACACAATTTTTGTGTCATATCAAGTTCCAGTTAATCTGATACTCTGATTCATACAAAAAAATTATTTAGTAACTTTGATTTCTTTTATACATACATACATACATTTCGAATTTACACTATGTTTTTTATATTGTTTATTGGAGAAAAAAACAAAAAAAAAAGGTAAATATCAATTTTTCCTTTCCCTCTTTTGCAATTTTTTACTTTTAATTTGTGGTTTTTGTGGCGTTGCTTGCTATTAATAAAATAAAATTATAGAATCGCTGAAAAAAAAATTAATATAAAAATAAACGTTGTTTTGCAAAATTCATCAATGTGCATATGGAAAATTGATAAAATCCTCAATACACTTTTTAAATTAAATAAAATTAAGTTGAATTGGGAACTCAAATGTAACTTATTTAATGTAATTTGGTCCTTTGAATCCGAATATTTGTAATTTTTTTGAGGCAACTGTTATACGGATTTAATTAGGGTCGGGTTTTAATAAAATAAGTAATGAAATATCCATAAATGTGATTAAATTATCATTTAATCACATGGGGCAACAATGCACCGCGAAATAAGAAATGAATCTTATGTCCACTTATTCCTTCCACTTATCACACCTTAACGCTCCCCAGAGACCAGTCCTTCTGATAAATTCAAGTATCTTGCGAGTATTGATTTCTAGCAGCCTTTTTGTTCCCTTCTTCTATGGATTAATAGTAATCGAGAGATGTCCCCGCCTCCATAGAAATATCCTCATTTGATAGTATTCATACTTCGCCGTCACTGCGATTCTCAAATTAATTTTGATTCATATTTTATTAATAATTTCAAAAGCCGTGCAGTTTTTTTCTAATTTTTAAATGTCGAGTGACTTGTTCTTTGAGTTTCTGATTGCAGTATGAAAAAATTATTGCAAGTAAACAAGTGTCAACTGAAATTGCTGATGTTTGTCTTGAAAGTGTATTGTGAAGGTATATTTGGAAAAACTACGCCTCTAATACTGAAGAAATTTCGATATCATTTGGGACAGAATGTGAAGTATAGATCCAAATGAAACGCTCTTGCCCTATGCGATCACATTGAGCACAGCCTTTATTCGAATATACAAGCCAAATAAGTTTGCAAAGGTTGAACTTGCCGTAGTTCTCTATATTTCAGATAAATTTTATAATTTAAAATTTTGTTAAAAATATTTCCTTCGATCCATTGGTTCCTTTCTAAATTGGCTTTGTTATTTTAATTTTAATATTTTTCCAAATCAATTTGCATTTAAAAAATTAAAGTAAAACAAGTTCAAATTTAATTTTAACAACCCTTACAATATATACAATGTATTTCATCATACTCCTTTAAAATGAGCACGTACATACATACACACATACATATAAAAATTATATTCAAAACGAATATTTGAAAAAAGAAATCCAATCTACAAAAAAAAAAAAAAAACAAGAAAAAATCGATATTTTTTTCATTATTATCCTTTTCTACCATAAAAAAAGACACGAAACGACCAAATCATTGAACTGCAAGTTTTCATACAATGCGAATTATATGTTTATGTGCATGTTCATATTTAAAATAAAGGGACCTTTAACCTCGTGTATTCACCCTCAGATTTAACTAAAATTATTCATAAGAAAAAAATTTGCAAAAATGTCCATTTGTGGTGTCCTCGATTCCTTGATTTTATTTTTTATACTTTTCTTTTACACATTTTCCCTATACAAAATTTGATTCATTTTTAAATTTGTATATGTGAACATTCATGCAAATATGTTCTAAACTCGCTATGTTCTTAAACTATTGGTATATAATTATAGTATCTTCGACCGTTTGTCTTCTACGTATTCTTATTGAAAAATCTTAATGAAAATGTAGTGTTTCTGTAAAACTCCTCGCGGTATATTATCTCGCTTCTTCTTCGTTCAAATTTCAGAAATTCATATTTCTGAAAAAAATTTGGTTCGGAAACCAAACATTTAAATTCTTCTAAAAAAAAAAAAGAGATTATTTATGTATTATTGCAAAAAATCATACTTACAGACAAGAATCAGTATGTTGAATTACCTTTTCAAATTGCTTGTTACTCGTCGAGAAGTCTATTCTAGCAGAGTTGCTATCTGTCCGTCAATTCGACATCAAAAAAGCAGATAACAGTCACTGTCTTGTCATTGAAAATATAATGACTTGCATTAAAAGAAATAAAAGTGGTCTCTTAGTATGGAAAAAAGGCTGAGAGAAAAGGAAGAAACTTAGATGTTAAAGTCTAAGTTATCTCAACCATTCAGCATTGTGTTTTTTATATTATTAAGGAACTGTATGCGAGCTATTGTTATTGCTGTTCTTATTATTTTATCGTATTCTTTTCCTTTTCATTCCTCTTTGAACCCTCTACTATAAAATTTATTCTTATTTTTCTCTTTTTTTGCGATATTAATAATGAAATCTCTATATTATAATAACGGTATACATTTGCAATGTGCTTTATACCGGTCTTTCTTCTGTCTATATAAAATACGAAAGAATTATTATCGTAAAAGTATAGTTATACTTATTTGAAAAATATTTCATAGTGCACTTTGCAAAACAGAAATGTACATACATATATAACATGTACATACATATATAAACACAAAATTATACATATACATTTTATACTGATGTGCTTAGTTCAAAATAAATTTACGATAATTATATGCACATTTTTATGTATTCCGTTCTATTTAGTCTAATATTTTTTAGTTACCCTGTTTATTTCAGTATTATGTTTGTTACTAAATAGTTGTTGTTAATGTTAAAAAAAAAAATTATGCCATTAATTGTTGTGTTTGAAAGAAATTATGTATAGTTGTATGTGGAATAGTAAATACACATACAAATATAAATTAATGAATGCGGTGTTATTACTCTAAATAATAATTTCACCATACTATTAAAGTTGTAGTGTATACGTACACCCTTATTTTATGTTACTGAGAATAAAAAGTGTTATGTAAAATACCGGCTAAAAAAATGCAATTTTTTTTGTGCAATTTTAGTAAAAAATTTTTTGCTTTGTTACAAGATCTAATAAGTGGATACAATACTGTTGTTCATGAGAAGAGATTGTAATTGAAAAGAAAAACCTGATAATTTTAAATTAATATTATTTAAGAATGTATGTATATGTATTTATGAATACCTAACTGTATTATAAAAAATTATTAAAAAAAATGTCAATGTATTTTGTTGCTGTCAGTGAACAGTTGTATAATAAGTGAGTGAACAGAACAGGGTGGCAAAAAAAAATCAATTTTTTATTTTTTCATTATTATAATACGCACGCATACACTCAAACATCATAGATAGTAATCTATATAAAAGTGGTAGTTCTATATATATATATATATATATATATATATATATTGCTAAATATGCATTTGTAATTGTAATTTTAGTGTGAAAATGACATTGCATAAAACATACAAAAATGTATACAAGAATAAAAAACAAGAAGAAAGACAGGGAATAAGTTATAAGCCATTCTCTCTAGCCTGGTTAACAAAATATAAGTATGTTTGTATACGAAAAAAGTTGGTGTGGATATATGAAAATACGTTCATACATACACACACACATACATAGTACATATTTACATAGAACATTTATATTAAAAAAAAAAAAGAGAAAAAAACAAGAAGAAAATTTACAATTTTCTATATTTCATGTACACACTGAACGAACGTTGGTCGTTCTTTAAACAGGGAAACTTTTTAAGTATAACATTTTCAGGGTGGTGAATTTTTGCTAGAAGTCAATGCACTTTTATGTAAGTACATACATATGTGCAATGTAATTTTTCCGTATATAAATAACGGTTTTATTATGTTTAAGTACATAATTTTATATCTATGATGTTTTTTAATTTAATTTTATATGTAAATAAAATGAGAGAGACGTTTATTGATGAGACGTATGGAAAGAGAGAGAAAGAGATTGTAATAATATGGTATGTACAAATATTATACTTATACAAATTTTATATAACAGTTTATTTTCTTTTTATATGGATTTAAATGCTTTTTTTCATGAATTCTATGATAATATAATATTATTTATGTATGTACTAATGGAACACATACAATGTATATATATATTCATACTTATGAAATGTAGGTGCTTTTATATGCATATAAAATGTTCGAATATGAAATAAAAGCAAGTATAACATTACATATACGTATATGTTTGCACATATTTTGCATATATATTTTTGTATGTATAAATAAATGTATTCATGTACATTTGTATGTATCTTAAGAAATAGGAAAAATGGCATTTTTGCTCTGCATTTTATACAAACTTTTTTTTTTTTTCTTTTTTGGGTGGGGTTCTTCGTTGTATATTTTCTTGCGCTCCTTTATTTTCTTTATGCATATAACAGAATACTAGCATTTTATTTAAAAAAAAAATAGCAAAAAAATATGAAAATCGTTTTATTTAATTTTTATTTCATTCTATATGTGCATAAAATATAATTTGCCCTCTCTTTGTTTTCTTACAAAAAAAATAAAAACAAAAACAGAAACGTAAAAATTCACTCTTTAATTAAAGTGAAGAAAAAATCA